AAACGGTTTCATCGCGTTTGTATTAAGTTTTAGACGAATCGGACCCTTTACGGGTTCCGTATTTACATAAGACTAAGGTGTTGATTGTCTATTTAATTAAAAGTATAGCTTCCTTCAAAAACCAATACTCTTAGACACATCGACAATGCGTTTTTTTTATATAAATAATTTTTGGTCCCATGTTTAATCTTTGCTAAAATTGGTTAGCAACAATGATCGCGGATGGCGGCGCTTATCCACTGCACAACCGAGCCATTCAGTCTAAATAAAAAAAAAATACCAGATTAAAATAACAAACCTCCATTCAAACTTCAAATATATTATATTTCTTCTTCATCATAAATCATGATATGGATATAAACATATAGATACCTAATTAGGCGCAGAAATTCAGTTGAATCCAACAACGAAATTATAAATAACTGAAAAACAAAACTCTTGAACACAAAAAAAAAGAATACTTATCTCAAAAGAGACTTATTCAAGAAAATGTAATTTAAGTCGGACGGAGATTTTCTATTAAATTTTATTAATTGATAGGCGCCCGACAACTGTACCATTTTCTTGAATAAATCGCTTTTGAAATAAGTATTATTTTTCACTTTTTTACATTTTGAAGTCGGTTCTATTTTTTTTTAAGTTTTTATTTCATACTTTTCAATGTTATTGGTATTTTTTTATATAATAGGTAACACTAAAAATACTTTTCTGAAAACTGCGTCAAAATCGGTTGGGCCAAAAGCGAGATAATCACGCAAAAACATACATACAGATCAAACAGAAAACCACTTTTTTTAAAGTCGGTTAAAAATGATGTCACCAATACCAATCAGTAAATAGAACTTACGCTTTTCAAATTGCGCATTCATACGATATCGTAAAACACGTTCCAAGTTCAAAGTGTTCAAGTTCTGTTTTGTTTTTTTTTTTCTTTAACAAAAGCAACAAGGTCAAGGATGTTACAGCGTACGGCCATTGTTTGAAGCCATATGACGATGTTAACATTAATTTTTACCAAGGTCACGCCAACCACAAGACTTTGTATACATTTGACAGGATAATTTGAACTCAAATGCAAGTAGGTATTACTGAGATTAAATTTGATTAATTATACGCCGGAAATAATATGTTTACTTCGAAATGCAAGTGAAGATTGCGGTCGTTGTTCATTAACATTTAAATCGAGTATAACTTGGAATTCGTTGTTACTACGGATGAAGTCGATTCTGAATATTTTTTTGGAAACCAGATGAGACAAGTCTGTCTTTGAACTAATATATATTTCATTATACTAATACAATATTACATTTACAGTGTTATATTGATAAATGTGTTATCCTTACCAGTATAATTAAGCTAAGACCTACCTTGAAATATTTTGGAACTAGGTATTGAGCTACTCTCGTTTTTAAATAAATATGTGTTGCCGACAAAGGAGGTTAAATACCTTTTTTACTTTTCATTGTATTCTTTCATAAAACATACGAGGGTCAAACTGAAAGTTCTTAGAACTGGCCACTTATAAACAATATAATAAAAAAATAATTCTAAAATTTGAAAATATAACTCTTTGCTAATATTACTGAGTATATATTTCATTCATTTGTCATTTGTTTTACGATTTGGCGGCAAATTGAAAATTGTCTGTGTCACGTCATCATGAATTTAACACGAGAAAATTTTCGTGCAATGATTTTTTATGACTTTCGATGTCATTTAAGTCAACAAGAAAGTTATGATAGACTGCGATTGGCCTTTCACGATGAAGCCCCATCTCGTGCGACTGTTTACAACTGGTTTAATGAGTTTAAACGTGGTCGCACTAATCTCACTGATGATTTACGTGAGGGACGGCCTTCTACGGCGACGACTGAAGATAACATCTGTGTTGTGCGGCGTATGATAGAGACTGACAAAAGAGTGACCTATCAATAGATTCGGACAAGCTTAGGCATCGGTATGAGTCAAGTGCACAAAATCCTCCATGAACATTTAGCGGTCAGGAAGCTTTGCGCCCGGTGGATACCTCATAATTTGACTGAGGCTCAAAAACTCCATCGTGTGGATTGGTGTCGTAAAATGATTGAAAGATTTAACGGAGGTGACTCAAATGCTGTGTTCGACATACTAACAGGTGACGAAAGCTGGATTTACTGTTATGATCCTAAAACCAAAAGACAATCTGCTCAGTGGGTGTTTCCTTTCGAGGAGTTGCCAACTAAAGTGAAGAGAGATCGAAGTGCGGGAAAAAAAATGGTGGCCTCGTTCTTTGGAAGGATAGGTCATTTTGCAACAATTGTGTTAGAGGATCAAAAAACAGTTTCTGCAGAATGGTACACTACCAATTGTTTGCCACTTGTCTTGGAAAAAGTTCGAGAGAAACGACCTCGCAGTAGGATCCTCCTTCACCACGACAACGCCTCGTCGCACACCGCCAAGCGAACGATCGACTATTTGGCGACATCAAACGTTGAATTACTGGGTCACCCGCCGTATAGCCCCGACCTCGCGCCTTGTGATTTTTATTTATTTCCAAAAATTAAAGAAAAACTTAAAAGAAAGCGGTTTATGAATGCTGAAGAAGCGGTGGCTGCGTATCGCGATGCCATTGAAGAGACCCCTAAGGACGAATGGGCAAAGTGCTTTTCCCAGTGGTTCCATCGCATGCAGCGGTGTATTGACGTGAATGGACAATATTTTGAAAAGATATAATAAAACTAATAACTGGCTAATGTAATCAGTTTTTGATTTTCTAAGAACTTTCAGTTTGACCCTCGTATTATTATATGGCTTTCTAAAGTCACTAAGCTAGACGTTATATTTTATTATGGAATTTTTCTAGCAATTTATTTCAGGTGATTTTCGCCAACAATATGTTTGTGCTAATTTGTTACTAGATTAAAATAACAAATTGTTTTATGAAAGAATACAATGAAAAGTAAAAAATTTGCATTCATAATGCTATACTTACTGAAAAATTATCTTAATGAAAAAGAAAAGTATAACATTGCAAAATTGATCAAATATAAAAGCTACATTATTTTAATTCTAAGAAATGCGGCCTGATATTATAGCACTTACGAGAGTTTAAAGCCAAATTTCAATTTAATGTTCCTTTTCATGTTATGGATATCAAATCGTTGGCTAAGAAAAAAATTATGTCGGACTAGTTTTCTCTTATAGAGTAGATATCAAATGAAACTTGAAATGGAGAAGGTCATGATGAAAAGCTCTTTACATTATAATTCCAATATGGTGAATACGGCCCGCCTTGTGAACAAAGATATAAAGTCAAGATGAACTTCAATACATAGTATAAAACAGTCGCTTTCTCTGTCCCTGTATCCCTCCCTATGTTTACTCAAATCTTTAAAGCTACACAACGGATTTTGATGCAGTTTGTTTTTCAAAGATAGGGTAATTCAAAAGGGAGGTTTTTATGTATAACTCGTGACCGCCAGCGACTTCGTCCGCATTTTCTATTATTTTCTCACTCCTAATAGTTGCAGCGTGATATTATATAGCCTAAAGCCTTCCTCGATAAATGGTCTATTCAACACAAAAATAATTTTACAATTCGAACCAGTAGTTCCTGAGATTAGCGCGTTCAAACAAACAAAGAAACAAACTCTTCAGCTTTATAATATAAGTATAGATAAACCGTAGTGTGCGAATGTACCAGTCTTAACGGCTCTTTTGGCTAGAGAGTTGCAGCCTCGTTAGGTGCGCCAACCGCTCGTCTCCCGTTTTCCCTTCACTGCTCTGCTCCTATTGATTGTAGCGTGATGAAAAGTTCAATAATAGAATTAAAAGGAATAATAATTTTGAAACATAATTAAAATATATTAATATGTAAAGAATAGACGGTAAGATAAATTATAGCAACGTAAAATAAAAAGAACAAGCTTCCATAGGGAAAATTGAAAGTGAATATATATATATACATATATATATATATATATATATATATATATATATATATATATATACATTTTTTTTAAACAAATTTTCATATTATTTTTATTGTTAAAATAATTAATAATTTAAATGTGAAACATGATATTCTTTGATATTTTGTGTGTTTCGAAAATGAAATCGTATTTTTCCACTGTATTTCATCGTGTTTGCGGAAAAATTATTTGTTCTTTCTCAGCGGAAGTTGAATGAGTATATATCTAGGCAAATAAATATCATTGGCATAACGTCGTTTTTTATTAATGCATTAAAAAAGAAAATATATAAGAAAAGAATATTACTTTTAAGGGTTAGATGCACCAACTTCCTTTAACAATAAGAAAAATATTAAAGCACCGACCGGTTAAGCAAATAATAATGCAGCATCATTTTTCAATGGTTAAATGACGTCATAACTTTAACTTTCTACAATCTATGTTAAAGACAGCGTGACAGATATTGTTAAATTTGACCTAAACCATAACTTTAATTGTAATTATGGTTGACTTTAAACATATAAAATTAATGTTAAAAATTGTCTCTTTTTCATATATTTTTTTTATTTACCAATACATGTAAGTGAGTTCCAAGATTCACTATCAAACGGGATTTTACAGCAACATTATGTATTTTTCGCTTACTTAAAAATATATATATTTTTAACAAACAATATTCATTTATATAAAAGACGAGTAGGAATGCACAATGCCCACGCTACTGGGGCCGGAACCGAACAGACTCAGGTGAATAGCTTTTCATTGAAAATGCTCACTTCATTAACGCAAGATTAAGGTACCATCAAATGTCACGACTAACAACAAAAGCTGAACGCATTGTGCTACGTTTAAAATGCAAAATACAGAGGCTATTCAGTCGCAGGTTTGTAATAACGCGCCCCATTCCTGAAACCGCTCACCCCCTAAGCGGGTAAGGAAGCACGTGTGCGTATCCCTGTCTCGCTCCAATACACAAGCGAGAAACTGTGCACTTCTCGCTCCCCCGCCAACGATGAGCGCGCATTGCAGGTGAAATGTGGACTTATCTTCAGTCGCTCCCTTGCCGTCGCGTGGGTGGGACGTGCTTACATGCTCTTCGTTTCCCGCGGAAACTTACGTACATTTCCCCTCAATTTTCCGGTTTATGTTATAAGATAAAACGTTCTATTGTTGAACTCCGAACGACGTAAATATTATGGTAATGTGTGCCGTTCATTGATTGTATCATCGCCGTGTGGACTGAAAGATAAAGTGATATATTTTATACTTGCAGTAACATAAGGGCTAGTGTACGGATTGTGTTCTGTTTTCCGGCCGATAAAAAAATCAAAGTAAGTTTTATCTTTTTCATTAATAAAAAGCTTCCAATATATCATCGGTGCTGCATTCGAAAGTTTTTACGCGATATCAATAGAATATTCATCAATGAACCCGAAAAGTTTCGTTCATATAATATTAACGCGCTCACACAAGTCGAAGGGTCGCATCTAGGCAAACGTAATAAGAATGTTAAAAACTTTTTCTTGACAAGTAAAATTATTGTGAAGTCCCCATTACAATATCTTCCCTTAGGGACACCTTTCTTACAATTCTCGTTTCCGAATATCGATGTTGTTTTCGCAATTTCCAATTTCTCTTTAAAATTTATCATTAAAATTGAAGTGTCGATTGTGTCGATTACAAAGCAAAATTCCTCCCGTTGTACTATTGGGAATCGCAAAAGCTCGTTTGTAAATGGTTTATAACAATGTCTCTTGATTTTATCGAATTCTGAAATATATATAACATTATCAAAATCAAATTTATAATACCAAAGTGCCCATTTGACTAAATTTATCTTCCGTGCAGTATAATCCGTGTAAAAATCTTAAAATTGTCTTTTGTATACTTAAGTGTTGAATAAATTTGTATACGAAGTGTGAATTATCTCACGCCAGCACTAATTCTAAACGTTAATTCTCAAACATTACATGACATTAAGAAACATTTGCCTAAGATCGGTATTCTGAACGCTTTAATTTGATTGATGCATCTATCATAATGAATTGAATGTTTAGATCTTGATGTGTAAACTAGCGTTATTACTTGCCCAATAGTTACATACGATCACACAATTAATTCGTACATTCGGCCGTTATGTAAGAGTTCGCCTTGAACTGATTTTCAACAAGATCAAGAGAACAGGTTTATGTTGCGATGCGCATTCAACTAAAATGTCGAATTTATACAAATAAATCATCAGATTTATTAAGGCAAAATACTGTTGTGTGTTAGGAATATTTTCTTTGATAAGTATATGTTGATTTTAAAGGTATAAGAGAAATTTGGAAACCTTTATTCAAAAACACCAGAACGATTAACCTAAATATTAAGCACACTTTGATAATGGAAAAATTACTTTCATTAATACGAAGACATCATATTATTAAGTGTAAACAGCTACGAACACTTGCGAAATTCAAACAACTATGCCATCGGTTTGTAAATCTATGGTAGGAGACCTTCTAACTACCGTGAAGATTCAGCAAGAAATTCAGTAAAGGCTACTTCTTTCTTTTTGATTTATTTCATAGAAAAGTCTTGTTTCGAATTGAAATTGGTAATGCTAACACCAATGTAGCTGATAATTTATCGTCAATAAAAGAAATAAATTAAAACAAAACGTTTGCATGCACTGATACTTTGACTGTTAAGTCGGTCTAGAAACGAGTCTATTTTAAACCCAACATCCGACTGAACCACGACAGATTGTTGGCGAACGACGAACTTTCCGTATCGTATTTTTAAATTGAAAATAAAAAAAAAGTCATTCTTCTCTCTCAAACCTTTTGTTTCATCATACCGTTCGCGTTCTTAAAACAACAAAAAATATTATCTAAATGCTTCCATCGTTGCCAAGTGATAGTAATTCGGTAGTCTCGTGCTAAATTTATTGTCAACTTTATGTCTGTCTCAGTGGTCTCAGCTGTTACCATCACATTGTCTCAGTAAATCCTTGACATCGCGATGTTGGAATCATTTCGTTTTAATTAATTTCCAAACGGCACAAAAAGAAATAGAGCGTGTGTGTGTGTGTATGTGCGTGTGTGTGAGCGTCCGGTGATTGAATAACATCTAAAAGTCTACTTCGACACTTAAACAGACGCACTAGAATATGCATCAAAATTTTCTTAATCAAAATCAAGATCATAGTGCAATCTCATCTTGAATTGAATTCTAAAAAAGAAAAAAAAATTGTTAAGTCGGAATAACAATTTTGTTATTAATTTTTCTTTTACCCTGACAATGTATAGACACATTAATATTCATTTAAATTGATAAGATAAATACGAGCGCACCGATATATTACTACACAAAATTCACTAGCTTAAAACATAACTAAAAAAAAAATTTCTCAAAAAATAGTTTTACATCATCGTATTTTTATCGGTTATAAAATAAAATTTTAACCCTTATTATTATGGCCTCTCGATATCCATTCAGAATTCTGAAAGAATCCTAAATAATCTTTAGTATCCATATCCAATAACAAATTAATGAAACTGAATAAAATAATAATCTCGTTAAATCAAATATAGAACGCATCTGGAGTTCACTCAAATCTTTATTCCAATACCCACATTACACATCTGCGTTACTGTAATTACGATACCGTGAATCTGGATATAAAAATTAATATTCACCGAAGAATATTTGTATATTTCCATAGCGCATTTTACAACTTCAAAATGTTTATGCTCTTTATTATGGGAATATTTAATGAGTATCACACAAATTTGATCTTGAATTATCATCATCAGCGTACTGGTAACCCCTTTATTTAGAAATAAATCTTTCTGTAGGAGTAAATATAAGCATTATATACCCAATAACTATTATTAACAAATAATATAACTTGTCCTATCAAAAACAAACTATAAATGCAAATTCTACACGTTCATGACCATATGTTTGGAACACAAGCAAGCTCATTCCTTGTAAATTACTAGTATTAAGCGTAACCATTTCTAACATATTCTTCGATGGGACTTAAAATATTTTATCCTTCCCCATAAAATACTTGAATGGACGTTTCCGTCCGGTAATTGGTGTTGTGGTCACATACCGTGTGTCAACGTAATTGTTACCTTAGGTCGGGTTTGCATCTTTGCGCTGGACTGCAATAAATTTTCGTTGTATGCGTTTGCGCGTTCTTTGTATTTGCGCAACTCCTTCATTAATTATCGCTTTTTATGCGGGTCAGTAATTGGCTACGGGCATTATCAGCGTCGCATTTGAAATTGATATATTCCACCATCCATTAAATGAAATTCCCAACACGAAAATCGAATGAGCTATCATGGTACTGAGAATTTTAGGCATCGTAATTAAAGTTAACAAAATGTCGGTTATTAACAAAAATTAATTCAGCGCAGAAAATTCTAAAAGCTACCAAAGATTTAATAAGATACAATAGCGACCAGTTACTTTGTTAATAAGAACAACAGGATTACTTTACAAGAATCTAAGAACAGAGATAAAGAATTCCCTTGGGCAGAAGCACACAAATTATTTTTTAAAACAAAACCGCAACACCTTAAAAGGGCATGATCAGCTCATCTAAAAGTTTAAATTAAAAAAAGGGTCCTTGTACATATACGTTCGTTTACAATGCTTGAGCTGAGAAAAGAAGACAAAACAAACAGAGTCACGGTTCATCGATATCGCGTGTAATAAACATGGGTAATTAATCACATCTCTTTATTTGTTCTTTCCAAGATATAGGGCCGTGAGCCCCAAATTGTAAGCCCTCGGCTTTTGATTTTATTACGTGTTCCATCATAAAGGGAAATTTGTAATATTTTGAATCTCTAATATTTAATAACAAAATTGGACACTCGGATGGTGCGTCAGGGAGATAAATTGCTTTTATAATAATACAACCACTAATTAAAAATTGAATTTGTTAGCTTCCGAAATTCTAAATGATAGTTTGAACCAGATAATTTATTTCAATAATTGTTACTACAGTTTTGTGGGTCAATGTGGGTTTACTGTTTAAATACTATACCTATAAAATTTTCAATAACGTTGCAGTGAATTCAGGCTCTGTAATGCATGCACATTCCAATAGAGCTTCAATTCCGATAGAATGTTTGAATGAAAATATTATTCATGTATTCGCTTATTCCACAACATTTGATATATGGAATGCAAAAATATTTATTATATGTATCAAACTTTCATTTTATATTTATTTTAACTTTGATTAACATCGCTTATTAATGATATGATATTATTGAATGGCTTCACATTCAAGTCTAAATTTTTAACATATGAAAGAGATTTTACACTTTGTTCATTATCGATCTGTTATTACAAATGGAACATTGATAAATTTTTTCTATGGAACTAAAGTGAGTCAATTTGGAATAATCCAAACGAGTATAACAGATTTGTCGTTATAATAACCTACCTTGAAATTATCCATGATTAAAAAAGTATCTACTTTGTAAATGACAATGTATGCCTCAGAGGCATGTTTTAAATCGTCCGTGACTAAGCTCGTCTTCTATAAATAATTACCCAACGTTCACTTGCTATGTTATAACATAAATCGTCAATACTTGTTTGCCGTATACTCTATATGCATTTTAATATCGCCAGCTTAATACCACTTTACTTTGATTCAGGTTCAATTTTTCTAATGAATCGAAATGTGTAAGCTAAACATTTCTGGTGTGGTTATTATAAGTTGTGTTTATATATTTAAATAGTAACTTTATGATCAAATTCCGTTTTTATGACTGGGAGATTTGTTTATCCATTATTTTAATTAATCTAAATGTGGATATTTTAACATCGACCTCTTCTAAACTTTAACCAAAAATGAGCTGGCGCTAAATTTGAAAATATCCAAAGCTGTGATTTGGACTGATTTGAAAATGATTTGGAGTTCTCTTAAGCATCAGATATTGGAGTAACCAGTTTCAATCAAAACTGTCAAACGGTACTCCTATTAAATACCCGGATACAGCGAACATTTGCTTTTGGCAAATCCGTCCAATCCGTTGCGCATCAAGCGTTTATTATTATTAACATTTAAGCGTCTTCTAAGCATAGCATGAAATTGATGCTTACATAAAACACGTACAAGTAAATTTCAACTCATATTCGACGTAGATTTAAATAAAACAAATATTTTGTTTTAAAGAACTAGACAAGATTTGTCTAGTTCCTCACTAATATTGATTAAATATGCTACAAATATTAATTTTACTAATTTGTTACTCTTTCTATTTAAACAAAAATTGTACAAATAGCTATGACCGTTGATATTAGCATGCGACAA